TTTAGAGATTAATCCTAAGGGTAGCCCAGTGAAAATAGGAACGAGTTATAAATTCAAACATCTTGAGTTTGAAACTTCATAATTCTGTCGAGACAGGTTACGNTAAGTGTTTTACCCTATTGGTAAAAGTAGAGCTATTAAGGAATGAATTTTAGAGATTAATCCTAAGGGTAGCCCAGTGAAAATAGGAACGAATTATAAATTCAAACATCTTGAGTTTGAAACTTCATAATTCTGTCGAGACAGGTTACGAGAGATTTTTCCTTCATGAATTTTCTAATTTTGCCGTAGATGGTCTGTTTTTTATCAAATCGTAGAGAAAATTAGTTGAAGTACGTGTAAACTAACCTAAACAACTTGAACAGTAATACCACCAAAAAAAAAAAAAAAGAGATAGGGTTTGGATCTCATTACATGCTTGATAATAAAAAAAAATCCATTGATACAATAGTAAAATAGTGAAGCCTAATAATTGGCTTCAGAGTATTTAGTTAGGCAACGAATTATTTGATCATCATCAAGTGGACATGAAGCACTATAGAAAAGTGACTAATAAAGTAAGAGAAATTAAATAACTAATTGAGTTAACAGCACATGAACTGCTTGATTAACTAACTAACACTCTACTTAATAATGAATCATTAGATAATCACAAAGATTTTTATCCAAACTTAATGCTATGTCTAGACTTTAACCAGCACTGTGTTCATTAGTTTAATAATTTTTTAGTGCCTAAGAAGCAAAGACAAGCTATAAACTCTTTGGTTGACAGCTTCTCATATCAATGGTTAATGTCATTTAGCCCATATAAGTTGGATCATGTGTTAAAATACAATTATGCAGATTCAGTTCCATCCAATACTTTTTTTTTTTAAAATAAATTATTTATTATTAATGAGTGTGGGACCGATTTGAATTCATGGTAGGTGATTCATGATTAGAAAAATGTAATAAATCAAATCTAATATTGTTTTATGCTAAAAAAATAAAGTTCTCTTTCTTTTTTTTTTTTAGCCCCCATTATTGGAGGGGACTCATACTTCTGCCTAATCATTTATCTTCCCATAAATTTTTTTGTATTAGATTTTCATCCCCTTACCTCTTAAAGAACATGTTGTAACTTATCTCTATTTAAAGTAAGGTTTAATTATAAGTTGCCCGTCCAACTATGCCTCTTATTGCAATCAGCTACTTGTAGTTTTAAATACTGCAATTTTTCCCCCTTCAAGTTTCAAGCGGGACTAAATTGATTGACAATAGTGGTTAGAACATGAAAATACTATTACACTATTTATCATGTACATTATTTCTCATTTTTTTCTTAAGATACAACTAAAAAAATGAAAAAGCCAAGAAAAAAATATATATGTTCACACTAACACAAACACACTATACAATAACATATTCGTCTTCACCTTCGTCGCTACCTTCACCCAACACCAACACACACACACACACACTTTTTTATGGATAATTATGTATTTTTAACATATTAGAGATCATGTGACTTTCTCTTATCTAAATTACATTGTGTTTTATTGTCTAAAATTAATTATTTAAGTTAATTGCAAAATATTCAAACTTTAAAGGTGCTATTTGTTGAAATTAAAACTTAAAAGGGTGAATGGCAAACTACCAAAAGTTAAAAGGGGTATTTTGTAATTAATCCTTTAAATAAATTTCTATAACTATCAAGTCATCTTGAGAATTACTGAAACCCTCTCTCCCTCTTGATTAGCCAGCACTTACGCCAACTGTAGCTAATGAATTTGAATACAGGACCCAAATTGAGTGAAATTGAGCAACCGTGTATATATATATATATATATTTGTTACTCTCTCAAGTTTAACGGTTATCACTATGACTTGAGCTAAATTAGAGCATACCCCTAAGTAACAGGGGCGATTTACCCTTAGAAGATATAAAAAAGGATTAAACCTGAAATTTTTAGATTATTAAAGGCTAAACNTAAATTATTTATTATTAATGAGTGTGGGACCGATTTGAATTCATGGTAAGTGATTCATGAAAAGAAAAATGTAATAAATCAAATCTAATATTGTTTTATGATAAAAAAATAAAGTTCTCTTTCTTTTTTTTTTTGCCCCCATTATTGGAGGGGACTCATACTTCTGCCTAATCATTTATCTTCCCATAAATTTTTTTTGTATTAGATTTTCATCCCCTTACCTCTTAAAGAACATGTTGTAACTTATCTCTATTTAAAGTAAGGTTTAATTATAAGTTGCCCGTCCAACTATGCCTCTTATTGCAATCAGCTACTTGTAGTTTTAAATACTGCAATTTTTCCCCCTTCAAGTTTCAAGCGGGACTAAATTGATTGACAATAGTGGTTAGAACATGAAAATACTATTACACTATTTATCATGTACATTATTTCTCATTTTTTTCTTAAGATACAACTAAAAAAATGAAAAAGCCAAGAAAAAAATATATATGTTCACACTAACACAAACACACTATACAATAACATATTCGTCTTCACCTTCGTCGCTACCTTCACCCAACACCAACACACACACACACACACTTTTTTATGGATAATTATGTATTTTTAACATATTAGAGATCATGTGACTTTCTCTTATCTAAATTACATTGTGTTTTATTGTCTAAAATTAATTATTTAAGTTAATTGCAAAATATTCAAACTTTAAAGGTGCTATTTGTTGAAATTAAAACTTAAAAGGGTGAATGGCAAACTACCAAAAGTTAAAAGGGGTATTTTGTAATTAATCCTTTAAATAAATTTCTATAACTATCAAGTCATCTTGAGAATTACTGAAACCCTCTCTCCCTCTTGATTAGCCAGCACTTACGCCAACTGTAGCTAATGAATTTGAATACAGGACCCAAATTGAGTGAAATTGAGCAACCGTGTATATATATATATATATATTTGTTACTCTCTCAAGTTTAACGGTTATCACTATGACTTGAGCTAAATTAGAGCATACCCCTAAGTAACAGGGGCGATTTACCCTTAGAAGATATAAAAAAGGATTAAACCTGAAATTTTTAGATTATTAAAGGCTAAACTCAAGTCAGCCACTGGTGCCTGACAGTGTGTTGGCCCTCTTCCAGCCTCTACTGAATTTCGCTAAGAAGCTGACCCTTATCAAAATGAGCAATGTTAATCTGAACTTAATTTGAGTGTGTAGGACAACTAAAAATTATCAAAAACTGTTGGGGTTAAAAGACAAATTACAACCATGTGCAACAATGCAAGGAGAAATAAAATTTTTTAATCAATGAAAGAAAGGTATCACCGCAGATTCCGTGGTTCCAGGCTTGCACTCCAATCATCACCTCCTCTCTTAAACAGAGAGAGAAAGAATCGTTGAGGCAAAGTAATCGTCCTCTCTCTCTCTCTCTCTCTCTCTCTCTCTCTCTCATACACACGCACAGATTCTAGAGATCATAACTTATGTCATCTACTCTAACTTGAGTGTCTTTTATTCATCAAGGTGTGAGTGACTGTAATACGAATAACAAAGTTACTAATCAAAAACCTATGATTTTTGTAAGGGTCATGCCTGAACTAATGTGCGTCCTTTAGGAATATTGTCTGTATTCGAAATTTATATCATAACCACGAATTCAAATGAGTGTAGTTAAAGAATGGTTATCCTTTATTACAAAAAAAGAGTTGGCAAAGTGAGAGAAAGAGAGTGTGAAACGGACTTTATGTTACACCACCACCTCTCCTCCAACTGTTTAACTCCCCCTTATTTAGTATATCTTCAGTTACAACTTACAATGGTATGCTTTTCTTGTCTGTTCCAGCCAACCCTTCTCTCTCTCTCTCTCTCTCTCTCTCCTATCTATAGACACAAGCATTCTCTTCCCCTAAATTTGCAGAAGGGAAATGCATCTTTATAAACAATCACTTCCTTGAAGGATAGGATGACTAATGCTGTAATTCACAGTTACTATCCCTTGGGGGGTGTCTTCTGACTCTTAAAACTTTCTCTTTCATCATTCACAAATATCCACTCACTTCTCTCTCTAGCTTCCTCCATCACCCCCTCCCCCCCTACCTCTAGATCCTTGTATTGGTGGGTTGTGGAGGAAGAACATGGAAAATTTGGAGGAAGGCATAGCTCCTAAAGATCTCAAACACATAGTAAAAGGCAAGAGAACCAAGAGACAAAGGCCACAATCCCCAATTCCTTTCACAATCACTACTCATTCATCAACCGGAGACCAAGGCGGCTATGGAAGCAATGAAGAAAACATCAATAACACCAACAACAACAACACATACTCCTCTTCGACATCCTCAGCTGAACGTGCCAATAGCACCACCGAGGAAGACCAAGACACAGCCAAGTGCCTAATTCTTCTTGCTCAAGGCCATTCAAGAGAGTTGCCAAGGAATCAAAATTATNACCTCTCTTAAACAGAGAGAGAAAGAATCGTTGAGGCAAAGTAATCGTCCTCTCTCTCTCTCTCTCTCATACACACGCACAGATTCTAGAGATCACAAATTATGTCATCTACTCTAACTTGAGTGTCTTTTATTCATCAAGTTGTGAGTGACTGTAATACGAATGACAAAGTTACTAATCAATAACCTATGATTTTTGTAAGGGTCATGCCTGAACTAATGTGCGTCCTTTAGGAATATTGTCTGTATTCGAAATTTATATCATAACCACGAATTCAAATGAGTGTAGTTAAAGAATGGTTATCCTTTATTACAAAAAAAGAGTTGGCAAAGTGAGAGAAAGAGAGTGTGAAACGGACTTTATGTTACACCACCACCTCTCCTCCAACTGTTTCACTCCCCCTTATTTAGTATATCTTCAGTTACAACTTACAATGGTATGCTTTTCTTGTCTGTTCCAGCCAACCCTTCTCTCTCTCTCTCTCTCTCTCTCTCCTATCTATAGACACAAGCATTCTCTTCCCCTAAATTTGCAGAAGGGAAATGCATCTTTATAAACAATCACTTCCTTGAAGGATAGGATGACTAATGCTGTAATTCACAGTTACTATCCCTTGGGGGGTGTCTTCTGACTCTTAAAACTTTCTCTTTCATCATTCACAAATATCCACTCACTTCTCTCTCTAGCTTCCTCCATCACCCCCTCCCCCCCTATCTCTAGATCCTTGTATTGGTGGGTTGTGGAGGAGGAACATGGAAAATTTGGAGGAAGGCATAGCTCCTAAAGATCTCAACCACATAGTAAAAGGCAAGAGAACCAAGAGACAAAGGCCACAATCCCCAATTCCTTTCACAATCACTACTCATTCATCAACCGGAGACCAAGGCGGCTATGGAAGCAATGAAGAAAACATCAATAACACCAACAACAACAACACATACTCCTCTTCGACATCCTCAGCTGAACGTGCCAATAGCACCACCGAGGAAGACCAAGACACAGCCAAGTGCCTAATTCTTCTTGCTCAAGGCCATTCAAGAGAGTTGCCAAGGAATCAAAATTATGAAGAGTTTGAGTCATATAAATTTACTAGCAAAAGATATGTGGAGGCGCCCATTACAGCAAATGGCAAGGCGGGGATCTATGTATACGAGTGCAAGACTTGTAACAGGACTTTTCCTTCGTTTCAAGCGCTTGGAGGTCACAGGGCGAGTCACAAAAAGAATAAGGCCATGGCCGCGGAAGAAAAGAAGCCATTGGTGTTCTCTGATGACGAAGAAGCACCATTTAAGAGCAACATATCTTCTCTTTCTCTTCAATTGAGCAATAGAGGAATATATAGCAATAACAATTCTTCTAAGGTTCATGATTGCTCGATTTGTGGGGCTGAATTCACGTCCGGACAGGCCTTGGGTGGTCACATGAGGCGCCATCGGGGATCTGCGGTTACCAACACAACCCTATCTTTGAGTCCAATTTCCTTGGATCGGTCTGAGGAAGGCAGGAAGTCAAGAAATTCATTATCTTTGGATCTCAATCTTCCAGCCCCGGAAGATGATCACCTTCGAGACAAGCTTGCCTTCACCTCAAAGCAACAATACGAAGAGCACCAGCAACAGCAACAGCAGCAACAACAACAACAACAACAAAAGCAAAAACAACCTGTTCTCGGGTTGTCCACCACCCCAACTCTGGTGGATTGTCACTACTAGGTAAGAATGTTCAATTTTTCAAACGCCAATCTTCTTTACTAGTTTGAAAGCTAGTAGTGAATTACCAATATTCTTTGATTTGTTGTCATTTAAAAGATGATGCATTCTTTTGGATACTCTTTGACAACTTTATAATTGGACTTGAAATTCTTTGAATTCTTTGGNGAGAGAGAGAGAGAGGGGAGAGAGGGAGAGGGAGGGCAACTTGTGAGGTTAATAATCCCTTTGGATTCAGGTTTTTTCATTATGTTTAAATTTATAGATCACTCACTATTAATTTAAGCCGAATTTGTAGAGAATTACTATCCTAATGGCCATATACTCGCCCATCAATCCAACACCAATTTTTCGTTACGAGATTAGCTTTAATCGACTTAAAAGTAGATTGACACAAACTTGATGATGAACCATTTATATACGATATGAACATGATTATAAAAGTGTCGGTGGTGTATGAATTAAACAAGTTTTTTGATGATACAATTTAGATACGAAAAATTCAATACGATAAGATTTATTTGCGCCCAGAATTGTAATACTATTTCTAATTTTCTCCTAGTGGGTTGAAGAAGCATTATTTGACTCTTTTTGAATCACAGTCCATCTTTTCCTAAATATAGCTGTGAACCTCATATGAGTTGACCTTGAGAACTAAAATCAAATGACTATTATATGTCTTTTCTCAAGTTTGTCTCTATTTTTATCTTTCGTTTTTTTTTTGAAAGAGCAATGATTAAAAAATTAGCTGAGCAAGGGTGTCCTTCTTAAGCCACTGCAACGTAAGAGTTAGATTTTCTACCATATACTTCCCTAAAAGGTGTTTTGATGATAGCATTAATTCAAATGGGACTAGAAATAGACATAGTAGATTACACTTTACCTTTTGAAGTATCTTTATTTTATTTTACATTCTCAATTATAAAATTTTTTATATTATACTTTAAAGTATCAATTTTTTTTCATATCACTCAAATAAATGACGATAAACTTGAAAATTTGTCAAAATAAGGAAGGAAAGCCCAAAAGAGCCTCCCGCCAAATGCCTAGTGCCACTTTATTTTATCTCTTTTGCTAAAAAAGTCGACCTGTAGAAGAAAATTTAAAATTTAGGAAAGGCAAAGTCATAGATAAATATTTTTCTTTATAATTGAAGGTACAAAGTGAAATAAATGTAATAGTTCAAAAGGGTAAAATATAATTTACCCAAACATATAAGTAAGTCGCATATCAATAATCATTGAGAAATTCAATGGAAAAAAAAAAANATGTCTTGTGGCGTATCCTGCAATCGAGCTGTTTTTGAGGATATGTATGTGTGTGTGTGTGTGTGTGAGAGAGAGAGAGAGGGGAGAGAGGGAGAGGGAGGGCAACTTGTGAGGTTAATAATCCCTTTGGATTCAGGTTTTTTCATTATGTTTAAATTTATAGATCACTCACTATTAATTTAAGCCGAATTTGTAGAGAATTACTATCCTAATGGCCATATACTCGCCCATCAATCCAACACCAATTTTTCGTTACGAGATTAGCTTTAATCGACTTAAAAGTAGATTGACACAAACTTGATGATGAACCATTTATATACGATATGAACATGATTATAAAAGTGTCGGTGTATGAATTAAACAAGTTTTTTGATGATACAATTTAGATACGAAAAATTCAATACGATAAGATTTATTTGCGCCCAGAATTGTAATACTATTTCTAATTTTCTCCTAGTGGGTTGAAGAAGTTTTGAATCACAGTCCATCCTTTCCTAAATATAGCTGTGAACCTCATATGAGTTAACCTTGAGAACTAAAATCAAATGACTATTATATGTCTTTTCTCAAGTTTGTCTCTATTTTTATCTTTCGTTTTTTTTTTTGAAAGAGCAATGATTAAAAAATTAGCTGAGCAAGGGTGTCCTTCTTAAGCCACTGCAACGTAAGAGTTAGATTTTCTACGATATACTTCCCTAAAAGGTGTTTTGATGATAGCATTAATTCAAATGGGACTAGAAATAGACATAGTAGATTACACTTTACCTTTTGAAGTATCTTTATTTTATTTTACATTCTCAATTATAAAATTTTTTATATTATACTTTAAAGTATCAATTTTTTTTCATATCACTCAAATAGATAACGATAAACTTGAAAACTTGTCAAAATGAGGAAGGAAAGCCCAAAAGAGCTTCCCGCCAAATGCCTAGTGCCACTTTATTTTATCTCTTTTGCTTAAAAAGTCGACCTGTAGAAGAAAATTTAAAATTTAGGAAAGGCAAAGTCATAGATAAATATTTTTCTTTATAATTGAAGGTACAAAGTGAAATAAATGTAATAGTTCAAAAGGGTAAAATATAATTTACCCAAACATATAAGTAAGTCGCATATCAATAATCATTGAGAAATTCAATGGAAAAAAAAAACAATTAGCAAAAGAGAATTTGAGAGAAGTTGGATCTCAAGATCTGAGAATGACAAAGAGAACGACTAATCTATCATGATATTGGATTGGCTGTGAGTATCAAGTTATACGAGAACTTAATGTCAAACCAATGATTAAGAATGATTAGATCAACAAATTAGATCGACAAATTAAGTCTAAGTAATATTGCTCATAAACAAATATATGGCCACAGTTAGTGAGTGATTATGTGTATCCGAGTTTTGCATAACAACAATTGAAATACCAAAAGACGCGTGATTGAAGTAATTCCCGTTACCAAAAAAAAAAAATATATATATATATATATATATACACACAAACACAGCTGATAAAGAACAATTTTTTGTAAAATTTTCATCAAGGAGAATTTTTCATGCTGATGTTGGTACCTGTAAGCTATTTACTTTTTACTTATGAAAATTTTCCATCAATCCAAACACCCTAAAAAAAAAATGAAAAACTCCAAAGAAAATATGGAGATGATTCTACATCAACCTTGCTATTGATAAGATCTGAATTCACAGTAGAGTTGTAAGAACGCAGACCAAGAAGATATGAAACCTGGCAAAATTCAAAAAGAGGGAGCACAGTTACTTAGATGTAATATGAATTAATTAGTATCATTATTGAATCAAACATTTGGATCATCACCATGGTATTTGTGGAGTTGTTGCACTAGCTGGCAATGGCGCATCCGGCACCGGCACTGGTACCGGTGCAGGAATTGGCTTCGGCGTCGAAGGTGGTGGAGGAGGAGGATCGATCTTTCCTGCAGTGAATCCAAGCAAATGAATACTAATAGTTACCAAAAAAGTAGATAACCAACAACGCTAGACTTGATTTGGGGGTCATAATGGATCATGTCACTTGTCTATGTCAAACTTTATTCAATATATGTTTGACCTTTTTGTAATTATGTATAACTGGATTCGTGTCATATACAATTAGTGTTTAGTAGAGTATGTATCGGCTCATTACTTGACAAATCTAGCGAGTCACGCACATGCTAAGCTCAAGTGCAAAATTGACACGATTGACAAATTGCGAGAATTACAATCAAATTTAATACAATTGCGAGAATGAAAATCAAAATGCATTTGTGTAGATAATGGGGGTAGAGGCACTAACCACAAAACAGTAGGTTTCCAGGGGGTGGCCTCTCTTTATTGGGGTTGGGATCAGGATCATAAACCCTCACATAGAGCTCTTGGCCTAAGTACCAATGCTTCAATATTTGTGACCTCAAATTCCACATTCCTGGGTTGTCTAGGTATGCATAAACTGCAGTCCATCCTCCTGGGTACACCTGATAATATTCTATCAAACCTTAGCCTCAGACTGAATGTGTGTGTGTGTGTCTGTGTATGTGAGAAAGAGAGAGAGAGAGAGAGAGGGAGAGAACCTGAACAGTGGAGCGGACTACTGGATCATAAAGGTTGTAGGTAGAATTGGAGTTGGGTGTCCAGTTTCCATCACCAAACCTCAAAGATATGAACACCAAATGTGAGCTTAATTTCTAAGAGAGATGTTGATATGATTAGTTAATAGTAATGTCATGTCTAAGTTGACCAACTTATTAGAATATCTTCATTTCGACGTGACACTAACACACTTGACAAAATAATTGCACCCGGATGTATGTATATGTAATGAAAAACCTGGTGATACTTACCCTACAACGTAGAACCCGAATCCATCCAAATGCCAGGAGTCCATGACACTCAAATCATTCTTGAACACAATTTCAAGCCATCCCTTGTGCTTCCCACTCACCACAAAAGTACCATTCACAGACATCGGCCTTGAAGAATTAGCAGAAAATTCATCAAGTAGGTAAACCCCAGACCCGTTGGCAAAGCTGTCAGCCAGCTTCAATGAGGTATCTGGAGTGAGATAGGACACATTGTTCACAGTATAGCGAGGAGCACCATCAATCTCAGCTGTTGATCCATGGAGAATGAATGTTTGTGAGAGTGTCACATTTGATACATTGAATGTTCCCTGTGGGTTAGGCCTGGCTGCACCAGTGGTCAAGTTCCACCTGCATACAGAAACTTATGGGCTCCGTGTTCTGAATTATACATCCATTTCTCTATTTGTGTCATTCTTGTAAAACGGCTAATCCTTCCTGAATCGTTCTAATCGTTTTCTATTTGAGTTTTGTGATTGAAAGCATCATTTACCTGATGGATTGAGCTTGATGGACCGAGAATTCGCGGTCGAATGGATCTGGCCCTATAGGTAAAGGCCCATTAGGAGGTATGGTGGAGTTGTCATAGTGCAACACACCAACAGCCACAAGAGGACTATGTTCAGTGACATTCACCAGTTTAGGACTTGCAACAATGTAATAATCAGCTGCATTTTGATCGGCTGTGACGAGAACAGAGTAGGACTGGCCGACATGCACATCGAGAGAATCCAACGGTATTTGATTGGTGTACGATCCTTCGGTTTCAACCAGAACCATCCGATGGTTTTGGATCCTAAAATTGATACTCCATGCTATGCCAACGTTGGAGATCCTGAATCGATATGTCTTCCCTGTACACATGAAACATAATCAAAGGGTAGAAATTAGCGAAGCTGCATAGTGACCCAATGGGCCCAATGTATAGATGAAACATGAAAATGACCAAGAGAAACATCCAATACATTGACAAACCTAATTGTAGGATCGTGATCGGGTAAGCAAAATATCAGTGTTGTTTCTTTACCTGGTGTGACAGTAAAGGATTCATGGGCTTTTGCAAGTGGATCCAAATATGAGCCTTTGCCATTCATAAGCATACTATCGGGCGAACTATCATAGGCCTCAGAGGTGGTATTTAACTTGGACCTAACATCCTTTTTTTCCACAACAAAACCCAAAATTAGCTAAAAAATTTGAAAAACTGATAAATTTTATCACAAATTCATCACCAAAATGACATTTTTAGGGACGAAATTACCTTGAAATTCTGCTTATACCAATCCCCTATGAGCAGGTCGAAATCGGCTTCGGGTTGAGAAAATGGTACTGGGATGACAACCCGATTATTGACACGGATGGGGCCGAAACCACCACCGGCCTTGTGGAAGTTGATGGAGGGGAAGTAGAAGAAGCTGCCAATCTGGTCCTTGGTCTGGAACACATAAGTCCAATTCTTAGCCGGTTGGATCGGGCAGTTGGTGCCGGATACTCCATCTTGCCATGAGTTAAGCCTTTGTTGTATCCCATTCCTGCACTTATGCCACCATCACAACCTTTTTCTTTTTCCTATCTAAATGAAACTACTTACATATTACAAACAGTAGAGCACTTTTTTCCTTATTTTTAAATTCAGGTTATATACGGGTTTTTTAGAATGTCTGACTAATCGTCCTGGACGCATGTAGTCTCCCTCATCCTACATGCACCGGACAATTACCATGATTAATACCGGGAGAGTGAATTCTTGGTATATAAACAAGCATCAAATTTTTGTTTAGGTGTATTGTTTTGGTTACCTAAAAAATAAAAGTATTTCGACGTATTTCGGAAACGTTTCGATCCGCTTCAGTAACATAATAAAAAATTCAAGAGTTATTTTTTCAAAACATTCATCGAAATATATCAAAATAACTTGAAATACTTTAAAACATTTCAAAATAATTATGTAAATACATTGAAATATTTCAAAATATCACGAAATATTATGGAATACCTCAACATATTAGAATTTCGATTCCATCATTGATTCGTTTGAATCTCTTTGAAAACTGAAACGTTTAGGATGTTTCTGACTGTTTCGAAACAATATTTTTATCCTTGTATATAAATATGCAATGCATCCCCATAGACTTAGAATTAATGTGACTAATTGCCTTAATAATGGAACCATGTGACCATTTTTAAGGAAACTCGATCTATTAATGGAATCTCTCATTTTTTGATATATATTCTCTGCATTTATTTGACTTTGAAAAAAAAATTATATTACTAAACCTTATGAAAGAAGGTCACAAACAATTAAAAAAAAAAAGAATTTGGAAAAACAAAAAACATACAAACGGTTTGAAAGTCGATCACATGAAGTAGCTTAGCATGTCTACAATTCTGTAAACTTTATAATTCTTGACCATTAAAGCCAAACAATAGTATTATTTGTATTTAAATTGTCGACTTAATCAATCTCAACTATTGGAATGATGGTGATCAGTCACATATAATATTAGGGTCCATTATTAATCTTAGATCTGTCAATCGTGTCGGGTGAAACGGGTTCACATTGAGTTTTAGCGGGTTCGTATAAAAAAATATTTTATACATACTTGATTTATTTATTAATTTATATCTAATGAATCATCTCATATTGGATTTGTACTGTGTATAAACCGCGTATAACTGGTATATAAAATAATTGTGTCTCATACCCGATTCATTTATTAGACGTGTCGACGCGTTTATTAAACGAGTAGTTTAAATAAGACTTAAACCCCCTAATCTCGTGTCGTATTCGTGTCGACAGATCCTCATATTTTGATAGTCACAATCAATTCAATAATAATATTAAGTAAATAAATAAATAGACAGAAAGAAGTTATGACAGCAAGAGCCTTCCAACGAAGTTGAGTTCAGCCAATTTACGAACTATGGTTGGCATAGTTTTCAACACAAACTCAAACTCTAATAGATCTTTTCTATTCTCCATGGACTGCTCATGAAATTCTTTGTTCGGGAAATTCTCTAAATAATTTTCAACACAAACTCATACATTATGTTGAATCGGGTGTAAATCATAGTGGATTACGAGACACCAACAACACTAAATGTGCTTCGTGATTGCCTTATACTCTTACTTAATTTTGACTTTGATATGATCAATCTCTTCGTGTACTATTTTCTGCATGAAATCTTCAAAAAGATTAAGTGATATATTATGCTCCTTACCGTTAAATTCTAGGTTTTCTCGGCAAAGATTCTCATGGCTCTTTGTACTATGTACAGAGAGAGAAAAAGACAAATAGAGAGAGAGAGAGAGAGAGAGTGTGTTACCATGTCATGAGCAATGGCTCATCCATATTGTTGNCATAAAGGTTGTAGGTAGAATTGGAGTTGGGTGTCCAGTTTCCATCACCAAACCTCAAAGATATGAACACCAAATGTGAGCTTAATTTCTAAGAGAGATGTTGATATGATTAGTTAATAGTAATGTCATGTCTAAGTTGACCAACTTATTAGAATATCTTCATTTCGACGTGACACTAACACACTTGACAAAATAATTGCACCCGGATGTATGTATATGTAATGAAAAACCTGGTGATACTTACCCTACAACGTAGAACCCGAATCCATCCAAATGCCAGGAGTCCATGACACTCAAATCATTCTTGAACACAATTTCAAGCCATCCCTTGTGCTTCCCACTCACCACAAAAGTACCATTCACAGACATCGGCCTTGAAGAATTAGCAGAAAATTCATCAAGTAGGTAAACCCCAGACCCGTTGGCAAAGCTGTCAGCCAGCTTCAATGAGGTATCTGGAGTGAGATAGGACACATTGTTCACAGTATAGCGAGGAGCACCATCAATCTCAGCTGTTGATCCATGGAGAATGAATGTTTGTGAGAGTGTCACATTTGATACATTGAATGTTCCCTGTGGGTTAGGCCTGGCTGCACCAGTGGTCAAGTTCCACCTGCATACAGAAACTTATGGGCTCCGTGTTCTGAATTATACATCCATTTCTCTATTTGTGTCATTCTTGTAAAACGGCTAATCCTTCCTGAATCGTTCTAATCGTTTTCTATTTGAGTTTTGTGATTGAAAGCATCATTTACCTGATGGATTGAGCTTGATGGACCGAGAATTCGCGGTCGAATGGATCTGGCCCTATAGGTAAAGGCCCATTAGGAGGTATGGTGGAGTTGTCATAGTGCAACACACCAACAGCCACAAGAGGACTATGTTCAGTGACATTCACCAGTTTAGGACTTGCAACAATGTAATAATCAGCTGCATTTTGATCGGCTGTGACGAGAACAGAGTAGGACTGGCCGACATGCACATCGAGAGAATCCAACGGTATTTGATTGGTGTACGATCCTTCGGTTTCAACCAGAACCATCCGATGGTTTTGGATCCTAAAATTGATACTCCATGCTATGCCAACGTTGGAGATCCTGAATCGATATGTCTTCCCTGTACACATGAAACATAATCAAAGGGTAGAAATTAGCGAAGCTGCATAGTGACCCAATGGGCCCAATGTATAGATGAAACATGAAAATGACCAAGAGAAACATCCAATACATTGACAAACCTAATTGTAGGATCGTGATCGGGTAAGCAAAATATCAGTGTTGTTTCTTTACCTGGTGTGACAGTAAAGGATTCATGGGCTTTTGCAAGTGGATCCAAATATGAGCCTTTGCCATTCATAAGCATACTATCGGGCGAACTATCATAGGCCTCAGAGGTGGTATTTAACTTGGACCTAACATCCTTTTTTTCCACAACAAAACCCAAAATTAGCTAAAAAATTTGAAAAACTGATAAATTTTATCACAAATTCATCACCAAAATGACATTTTTAGGGACGAAATTACCTTGAAATTCTGCTTATACCAATCCCCTATGAGCAGGTCGAAATCGGCTTCGGGTTGAGAAAATGGTACTGGGATGACAACCCGATTATTGACACGGATGGGGCCGAAACCACCACCGGCCTTGTGGAAGTTGATGGAGGGGAAGTAGAAGAAGCTGCCAATCTGGTCCTTGGTCTGGAACACATAAGTCCAATTCTTAGCCGGTTGGATCGGGCAGTTGGTGCCGGATACTCCATCTTGCCATGAGTTAAGCCTTTGTTGTATCCCATTCCTGCACTTATGCCACCATCACAACCTTTTTCTTTTTCCTATCTAAATGAAACTACTTACATATTACAAACAGTAGACCACTTTTTTCCTTATTTTTAAATTCAGGTTATATACGGGTTTTTTAGAATGTCTGACTAATCGTCCTGGACACATGTAGTCTCCCTCATCCTACATGCACCGGACAATTACCATGATTAATACCGGGAGAGTGAATTCTTGGTATATAAACAAGCATCAAATTTTTGTTTCGGTGTATTGTTTTGGTTACCTAAAAAATAAAAATATTTCGACGTATTTCAGAAACGTTTCGACCCGCTTCAGAAACATAATAAAAAATTCAAGAGTTATTTTTTCAAAACATTAATCGAAATATATCAAAATAACTTGAAATACTTTAAAACATTTCAAAATAATTATGCAAATACATTGAAATATTTCAAAATATCACGAAATATTATGGAATACCTCAACATATTAGAATTTCGATTCCATCATTGATTCGTTTGAATCTCTTTGAAAACTGAAACGTTTAGGATGTTTCTGACTGTTTCGAAACAATATTTTGATCCTTGTATATAAATATGCAATGCATCCCCATAGACTTAGAATTAATGTGACTAATTGCCTTAATAATGGAACCATGTGACCATTTTTAAGGAAACTCGATCTATTAATGGAATCTCTCATTTTTTGATATATATTCTCTGCATTTATTTGACTTTGAAAAAAAAATTATATTACTAAACCTTATGAAAGAAGGTCACAAACAATTAAAAAAAAAAAGAATTTGGAAAAACAAAAAACATACAAACGGTTTGAAAGTCGATCACATGAAGTAGCTTAGCATGTCTACAATTCTGTAAACTTTATAATTCTTGACCATTAAAGCCAAACAATAGTATTATTTGTATTTAAATTGTCGACTTAATCAATCTCAACTATTGGAATGATGGTGATCAGTCACATATAATATTAGGGTCCATTATTAATCTTAGATCTGTCAATCGTGTCGGGTGAAACGGGTTCACATTGAGTTTTAGCGGGTTCGTATAAAAAAATATTTTATACATACTTGATTTATTTATTAATTTATATCTAATGAATCATCTCATATTGGATTTGTACTGTGTATAAACCGCGTATAACTGGTATATAAAATAATTGTGTCTCATACCCGATTCATTTATTAGACGTGTCGACGCGTTTATTAAACGAGTAGTTTAAATAAGACTTAAACCCCCTAATTTTGTGTCGTATTCGTATCGACGGATCCTCATATTTTGATAGTCACAATCAATTCAATAATAATATTAAGTAAATAAATAAATAGACAGAAAGAAGTTATGACAGCAAGAGCCTTCCAACGAAGTTGAGTTCAGCCAATTTACGAACTATGGTTGGCATAGTTTTCAACACAAACTCAAACTCTAATAGATCTTTTCTATTCTCCATGGACTGCTCATGAAATTCTTTGTTCGGGAAATTCTCTAAATAATTTTCAACACAAACTCATACATTATGTTGAATCGGGTGTAAATCATAGTGGATTACGAGACACCAACAACACTAAATGTGCTTCGTGATTGCCTTATACTCTTACTTAATTTTGACTTTGATATGATCAATCTCTTCGTGTACTATTTTCTGCATGAAATCTTCAAAAAGATTAAGTGATATATTATGCTCCTTACCGTTAAATTCTAGGTTTTCTCGGCAAAGATTCTCATGGCTCTTTGTACTATGTACAGAGAGAGAAAAAGACAAATAGAGAGAGAGAGAGAGAGAGTGTTACCATGTCATGAGCAATGGCTCATCCATATTGTTGAACACATTGACATGAATATTATCGTTCGTTGTGACATTAATAAGAGGTCCAGGGAACATCCCATTGACAGTAATAACCTGTCAAACAAAAACACAAACCTTTTCATGCAAGAAATCAAAAAACAGAAACTTTCAATATATATATACTCACCTTTTCTCTCAATCAAATCCTAACAAAAACATGAAGCTCTAATTCATACCGGTTGATCCACCGACGCTGGGTTGATCGTCATGTCAACTGCTACATGCCACTCCAGAAAAATATCCTCACAGTTAACTACTGAAGAAAAGAGTGTCAGAACAGTCAGGAGAAAGATTAGTCGTGAAAAATCACCAAAGAGAGCCATGGTGGTGGTGGATTCTCTCTATGAATTGACTAAGAGGATTGAATACAGTCCAAAGGAAGAGAAAGTGGTGAAAATTTCAGAGTGAATATAGAGAGCCAAGAAGGACATTGATTTAAATAAGAGGTTTGATTAGGACAAATATAAGAAACAGTTTGTGTTTTGTTTCATGTAGCCTTGTTTTGTTACGCACTAGGGCGTGGTTGGCATATGAAGGTTGTTGCTTTTTCTATAGGTTTTATAGTACTTGAAATTTTGTAGGCTTCCTATTCCCAATTCGTTTTGGATAGTGACATATTTTGGTGGATTTTGAAATCATGNGGACCGAGAATTCGCGGTCGAATGGATCTGGCCCTATAGGTAAAGGCCCATTAGGAGGTATGGTGGAGTTGTCATAGTGCAACACACCAACAGCCACAAGAGGACTATGTTCAGTGACATTCACCAGTTTAGGACTTGCAACAATGTAATAATCAGCTGCATTTTGATCGGCTGTGACGAGAACAGAGTAGGACTGGCCGACATGCACATCGAGAGAATCCAACGGTATTTGATTGGTGTACGATCCTTCGGTTTCAACCAGAACCATCCGATGGTTTTGGATCCTAAAATTGATACTCCATGCTATGCCAACGTTGGAGATCCTGAATCGATATGTCTTCCCTGTACACATGAAACATAATCAAAGGGTAGAAATTAGCGAAGCTGCATAGTGACCCAATGGGCCCAATGTATAGATGAAACATGAAAATGACCAAGAGAAACATCCAATACATTGACAAACCTAATTGTAGGATCGTGATCGGGTAAGCAAAATATCAGTGTTGTTTCTTTACCTGGTGTGACAGTAAAGGATTCATGGGCTTTTGCAAGTGGATCCAAATATGAGCCTTTGCCATTCATAAGCATACTATCGGGCGAACTATCATAGGCCTCAGAGGTGGTATTTAACTTGGACCTAACATCCTTTTTTTCCACAACAAAACCCAAAATTAGCTAAAAAATTTGAAAAACTGATAAATTTTATCACAAATTCATCACCAAAATGACATTTTTAGGGACGAAATTACCTTGAAATTCTGCTTATACCAATCCCCTATGAGCAGGTCGAAATCGGCTTCGGGTTGAGAAAATGGTACTGGGATGACAACCCGATTATTGACACGGATGGGGCCGAAACCACCACCGGCCTTGTGGAAGTTGATGGAGGGGAAGTAGAAGAAGCTGCCAATCTGGTCCTTGGTCTGGAACACATAAGTCCAATTCTTAGCCGGTTGGATCGGGCAGTTGGTGCCGGATACTCCATCTTGCCATGAGTTAAGCCTTTGTTGTATCCCATTCCTGCACTTATGCCACCATCACAACCTTTTTCTTTTTCCTATCTAAATGAAACTACTTACATATTACAAACAGTAGAGCACTTTTTTCCTTATTTTTAAATTCAGGTTATATACGGGTTTTTTAGAATGTCTGACTAATCGTCCTGGACGCATGTAGTCTCCCTCATCCTACATGCACCGGACAATTACCATGATTAATACCGGGAGAGTGAATTCTTGGTATATAAACAAGCATCAAATTTTTGTTTAGGTGTATTGTTTTGGTTACCTAAAAAATAAAANAATTGGTCAAATGATAAAAGGTTAAGGTTCAAGGCTTGTTCGTAGAATCTTTTGCTAAGTGAATGGCTTATTTCCCTCTATTTTTTTTTTTTCGTATTGAGAAGGGGTGTTCATCCTAGTCTACGGGTAAAAACCCAATATTTTGCTAAAAATTTTTCTCTTAACTTATCTTACCTAATCAAGTGTATTATTCTCACCCGAATTCCGTCTAAAACAATCGAACAGGAAATCGGGTGAATACATATTTTTTTGTTATTAATTGTTGAATTATTTTAACAATTTAATTAATTAACCTGCTTCAATTAACTAACACAATAAATCAAAAAAAAAAAAATACAATAAATTCGATACCAAAAAATCGTTCATTGACCTACCTAATTCTTTCGGATAATCGATAAATAGAGTCGAGTAGGGTAGAATAGAATCGAAATTTGTTAGTAATCGAAAATTTGAACATTCTAGTATTGGGAGATCATATTTTTATGACATGATTACTCTATTGTGACATATACACATTATAACTTATAAGTATCTATCCTCCCCAAATTATAGAGCAGGAGGAACTTCTTATAATGGTTACTCTTTTGACATACCCTTCATTTGATGGGTTTAATATAATCATGGAAATGCTATAAAATCTATAGTACTATGATATATATCTTGAATGAGTTAAAACTAAATGAATTTATAATTTGGAGTAAGAGCTATGCTTTGTTTCAATGTTGTGCCGTGCAATCCCATCCGCTATATATAAAATCTTCTTCAAAGAATGACTCTTGGGTTGTTTTTGTTTCAGCATTTGCGAGTGAAAGCAACGAATTTGCATTCTTAAATCGTATGTTTATTGTATAGCTTTTAGGTTAAATTACAATTTTACCCTATCAACTATGGTCTTGATCTCATACTGTCCCCCTCAACTATTTTAATTTATTTCAAACAACCCCCAAACCATATGTCGTGTTATATTTTGAACGGAATGTCTCAATATGTGGTAAACTAAAAATTTATATAAATTTGGGGTCATGTGAAACCACTAATTATAATTGGAGGTGCAATATGATGTAACGATTTAATATGAAATCACTAACCATAGTTGCAGGTACAAAGTGAAAAAATATTATAATTACGGCATAATTTGAGACATGAGACATAGTTAAAGGGGTCAAAGCATAATTCACCCCCTTTTGCCATGTGGCCATAACAGTGTGAGATTTTCACCTTCAGATTGGACATTGATCAGTCCGTGTTTGTTTATACTTTCTCTCAGCTCTGAAAGCTTCTCTTTTGGATTGTTCACAGAACAGAACTGCTAATAACATAATACATGGAAATGCTACACATTGACAGAAACTAGTTAATCCATGATTTATGCTTCATCTTTCGTTTGTTATTCGTTTATTTTGAGACTCAAGCTTGAGGGGATAGTTATCCGATTGTTGTATTGAAAATTTTTTGCATATTTAATCCCAACAGGTAATTCAAGAAAAAATAAAAATGAGTCGTAAATTCAAATCTTAGTAACCCCTTAGTACTAGGTTATGAGAAATTTATCCCTTATAAATACTTTACTCGTGACGTGGATGATCTGTCTTTAACCGAACTACAAAAGAAATTAGCCGATGAATTGAAAAATAAAAATAAAAATCACATATTCTCTCTTTTATGCAAGTACAAAACATAATAACAATACAGTTATAGCTAGAGGTAAGGGATGAATCCTCCAGCAAAGAAATATTTCACCTTGAACTTTTACCCAAAACTATGCCTTTTTTCAAACTTATACCTAAAAGAGAGCAGTTTTGAAAGGATTTCTCAAACCTATATAATTTTAAAAACATCATTTGAACTGACGTTTTCATGTAATAACGTCATTCCAACCAACATCTTAATAAATTTTTTTAATTTAAAAAAGTCACTTAAAAACGTTGGTCTGACCAACGTTCTTCTAAACAAATTGGTCTGACCAACGTTTTATGTGTTTGTTTTATGACCCCAACCTTCTTTCTATATTTTCCCTTCTTCCTTCTTTCTCTAATTTTCCCCCAAAATTGCGAGCCCTAATCGAAATCACAAAAGCCCCCACCATCCGAAATCACAACCACCCACATCCCTTACCACCACCACGACTACCCCCATCCCGAACCATCACAAAGCACACCACCACTTTGACCATCACTGTCCCACATCCCCCCGCACCACCACCATTCAAAACCACCAAACCTAGCACAACCACCATCCGAAACCACCAGACCTGGCACCACCACCATTTTCAGAGTAATTGTCTGTGGCCATTAGAGTTGCTGGGTTGAATTCCACTGGAGCCCCTAATTCGTTGAAGACCAATGGAGTCCCAATTTGTATGTGATTGACTATCTCCCTCTCTGTCACTCTCATTCTCATTCTCTCTCTCTCTCTCTGTGTCTCTCTCTCTCTGTCACAGTATGCTCTCACTGTTAGTATTATTTTGTGTCAACCTATTTTTGTCGTTTGATTCATCTTTTGTTCATTGTTATTTTGTGGTTTAATTCATGTTTTGTGCACCGTCAATTTGTGGTTTAATTCATCGATATGCACCGTCAATTTGTGGTTTGATTTATCAATATGCTAGTGTTTGTGGTGTGATTCATCGATATGCACCGGTGTTTGTGGGTTTATTCATTAATTTGGGTTTTGATTAATCGATATGCTAAGTTGTACTGTTAACATAGGTAATTTGCAATATTAATTTGTGGTTTAACAAAGTAGGACCTTAGTTTGTTCACTTATACATTTGTCGTGTTGATGATATTTACTTGAGAAATCATTTTTGCCAATTTTGTATTGATTCTATCTTCCTCCTTGTAATGTAATTTAAATTAACACGAAACCTTTTGTGTGTTTTTCAACTTCTGTTAAGTACTCATTTATTCATTCTTCATTTATTCTTTTATAATTTAACTTCTATATGAGGTTGAATTTTTAATTTAAAAAAAATATAATAATAATTAAGATTAACTTTAAATTTAAATTGTGTAACTTAAATTTCCACTAATTGTTTGAGATTTGGTATAAGTTTAAAGTTCTGTAAAATTTCAAGCAACACTATTTTGCAACACCATCTCTTTCTCTCTCTCAGTATAAGCATTGTAGTTATGTCTCTCCGTCATCAAGCAAACATCATTTTCCTCAAAATAAACATCAACAGTTCTGAAGTTTTTAATAGTGTTCTCCAAGGTGCCAAGTTTTTGCCCATAATTGCTTGTGTGCAATCGATATTCTATCAGGTCACTAAGTATCATTTTGAACATCGAGATAAGGTAGCAAAATAGAAAGAAAATGGTTTGGAGTTCTATAAGGATGTTGTGGAGTCAACTTCACCGTGACATTGGAGCTTGTCCACTTCACCATGTGTCTCTGTTGCTAATTATTACAGTCCACCACCCGTTGTTGACCATGCCACTACACCACCTATTGACCCTCTTCCACAGACATATTGTGACATCATTTGTTCCACCACTAACCTCACCACATGTGGATACATCACCGTCACCACGCACACCTTCATAGGACCCGGTGGTTACAAGAGATATGTCATATGTCCTGGACTAGACAGGTACATCATTTCACAATGTACATTGTATTCCACAGACTGTCCTAGTGCTGCCCCCATCAGCCTACCTCTCTTGTTCCATATGAGAACTCTTTCGAGCGAGGCACAGATGGGCATGGAGTCAATTGTCGTACCCACTATGCACATGATCCTGTAGATGGTGGAGTGACTCAAGAGATTCTAGAACCTATTGATGGACAACAGCCCAAGCAACAGAGGAAACCACCACGTTGTGGGACGTAGTCTATTTTTTTTTTTATCTTTGTTGTAAATATTTTTTAAGTATTGTTGTATATAAAAACTCTTTGGGTTCATATTTTGTTACACAATACTTACATTACTGCATTGTAAATTAGTTATCAAATATTGTATGCAATATTTTTCAACTAACTTTAACACAATTTATCGAATACGAATGGACAACAATAACTGGAGTAATATACCATATTTCATAGAAACATAAAAAAACAACTTACTGGAAACACAAATACGACAATATTGTCTAAATGTTACAACACAATAGTTGCATAACACTTATTCATTCATGGGTCTTCATCTTCGTCAGATATCTCCACATTAGAAATACATTCAGCTTCCCCACTGAACTGGAAGCTTAAAATTGCTTCTACACTTATTCATGAGTCTTCATCTTCGTCAAACATCTCCACATTAGAAATACATTCAGCTTCCCCACTCAACTGGAAGCTTTTTTTTTCTTCTTGTATCATCCCTTCTGCAGTACGGCCTCTTGCGATACGACGAAGGCTGTACCGATTGCAATAAATTACCATTCGATTGTTGTCAACTTGAATACGGAATAATGCTCGCTCTAATTCTTGAGGAGTGGTAATAGGCATACCAATGACAACTTGTCGAGGCCTTCGTATGTTGCAAGAACGTAAATCTACGCTTAGATTTTCCCTTTCCGTCAAATGATATTGTCATTCCGCCATCATTGTGTTTCTAGCCATTTGTGAATATCGTAAGTGAGGATTCATTAGATAAAAGAATTCATCCTCTAATGTCCAATGAAAACCTAGAGATTCAAACGCCGTTCGCAGACTATAATTCATGGTTAGAGATAAAGTGTGTACATTGAACATTGCACAGGCATTGAACCTTATGTGCAATATGGATGTGAGTACGTCAGCCTGCAGTCTCAATGAATGACATTGAAACAGTGTTTAGTCACAATGAATGGCATAGATGCAATTGTCATGTTAAATCTGTTTCTTATTTAGCAACGCACAAGAATGAGGTGCCACAACCCTATTTCAAATAAAGTCAAACCAATGAATTGACAACATTGTGTTACACCTCAATGTAGCGGTGTGTAGTTACAATCAAACTCTATCATAACTGAACACAATAACAAAAACCCTAATACTTATGAAATGTGTACAAAACCTTGATTTCACAAATGTTGAATAAATATGCAGTAGGGATGTGAGGTGGCGTGTGTAACCACAATGAATGACTGGTATCAGTGTGCAGTCACAATGACAAAACACTGATGCATTTGTTCTTTTATTAGTGTGAATCAGGGTGTAGTAACTTCAATGAATGACAACAATCAATGTGCAGTCACAATGAAAAAACACTGATGCATTTATCCTTTTATTAGTGTGAATCAGGTTGTAGTAGCCTCAATGAATGACAGCAATTAGTGTGTAGTCACAATGACAATACACTAATGTATTTGTCATGTTATCAGTGTGAATCATGGTTGAGTAACTTCAACGAATGAGAGGTATTAGTGTGTAGTCACACTGAATGAACTCTTATTTCAATGGATGACCTACACACTGCTGCATTGAAGTTTCTCAAACCTGATTCAAATAGAGTGATGTTGAATAAACAACACTGTAACGTGTGACAGTCTACCAGTGTCAAGCCACAATAAAAATCTATCATAGTTGAACACAATGACCAAAACCTTAATATGTAACGATCATCTATTAAAACCACTTTAAAAACACAATAAGGGATGGTTGATATCGCATGTATTGAACATTATGTCTACATCAAGACCATCTACAATCAATAACAGCTGCAGACATCAACGAGTTTGGTTGTTACTAGAGCGAAATAATGATTACAAGAGTGAGTTTTTCTTATCCAAAAGAATATTATGTCGAACTCCGATGAGAGTGGACTTTTCGTGCTAATGAATCACACTCATTATGCACAGTTCTAAGAGAACTTGGCATACCGGTGCTACATAGACTTCCACTTAGCATGCAACAAAGGAGTATAGTGGACTACGAAGCAGAAGTTAAACGTGTATGAAAAGAGAATAATAAGATGATGGTGTGCAAGTGTTGATATTATATGCTCCAATTAGCAACTAACAAGGTGACCATTGCATATGGAACAAAGTTGACAACTATTTAGCGATCTATTGTATTGTCTAATGTACAATACCTATCATATGAGTATATGTCTGATGAAAATTAACAAATGTAATCAGTATCCAACTGATTGTGCATATGACTTTTATTTGTATGTCCTAATTAGTGTGAATCATTCTCATAGTTTTATCAGTCTATTCAGTGTTTTTTCATATCACAACTTTTTTATTGTCACGTCTTGTCATTATCAAATCAGTTCATTATTTAATCAATATCAATTCATGTCCCCATTTTGCAATGTGATATCATTTCACTGTTATTTTAAATTGTCAAACTGAGCCTATATATACTATCATTCTCAATTGTGTAAATGATACTAAACAAATTGTATATGTGCACATTAAATACACAATACAGCCAAACCAATGAAGATTTTTCTTCACGCAATAAACAAAATAGTTCATCTTCAGCCAACAAACGTGAACGCTCAACTGACCGATCAACATCATTGAACAGAGTTCCTTCTGTTGGATTCTATACAGATTTCTGTGGTGTAACGTGGTATGGATGAAAGCATGAGTTTCGCAACGAGCTCATTGACCCTTATCACCCATTTAGTCAAGTTGGACATGTAATTGTTTGGTCTGCGACTAGCAATCCACCTTCGAGTACTCATATCGAACTCATACTAAGATGGCGACAGTTGTATGACAAATGTTGTAGTCTTGAAGTATTTTGTCGTTGGCATGGACTTACAATACCGAAGACACGTTCAACTGATATTTACAATCCAATAAATTCAAACATTCATGACAAGATCATAGGAAAGCTTGAACATGAAAATGATCAAATGCAGCATCAATTTGATCATTTTCATGTAATCGAGTATGCAAAAATTGAGTATTTTGATCCTAAATATGCTGAAATTGAAATTTTAGAAAATCTGTTACTTATTTCCAACCCTGAACTTTTTAATTTCTCTGATTTAGACGATAATGCGTTAGACACTTTTTTTCCATCAAGTTTTTGGGTATTCGGTAATCCTCTATATTTTTTTGAACATCAACCATATTATTGACACTATTTTATCCCATCAATTGCAAGGGAAAGTGTCATGAAATAAATGCTCAATTTTTTTGATATGAATAAATTAGATTTTTACATACAATTCACTTTATTTTAATAGACATTATTGTCTCATCAATCACAAAATGTTATGTTTAAATGTTAAATTAAAAATAATTAAATATAAACGTTTGAAAGTTATTTTGTAATAATTAAATTCAATTTGTGTTTCCTACTTTGTTAATTTTGAAAAATTAACTTGATCGGATAAAAAGGCAAAATATTTTAAATACAAAATACGTCAACTATATTGACGTTTTAAATATGTTTACGTCAATTCTACTAACGTTTCTATTGCGACACAAAACGAATTTGATAATAACGTTTTATCAGTAAAAATGTCAATTCAAATAACCTTTTTAAAATTATATGGGTTTGAGAAATACTTTCAAAAGTACTCTCTTTTGGGTATAAGTTTGATAAAAAAAACATGATTTTGGATAAAACCTCATTTCAACTAAATCAAAATCGATTGTAAACAGAGAAAAATCAAATACATGACTAGGCAAGTATTAGCATTAAAATGAATTATTATGGATCAGCATCTCCTATCACCATGAGGCCTGGGGAGCTGGAGCTGGGACCAGGGACGGAGCTAGAGTTGAGCCGGCGGAGACAGGACCAGGGCCGGAACAGGGGGAGCCGAGGCTGGTGCCGGAGCTGGGGCTGAGGGAGTCAAAGTTGGATCCGACGGAGACGGGGCCACGACCAGAACAGGGGGAAACGAAGCTAGGGCCGGGGCCGGAGCTGGGGCCGGGGAAGTCAAAGCTGGAGCTGGCGGAGACGGGTCCAGAGCCGGAAAGGGGGAAGGCGAAGCCGGGGCCGGTGCAAAAGAATCATTGAAAATTCCTGGAGAGAAAGAGAAAGGAGAATTTCTAACCAGTGAACATACATTTGTTTGAGTTTGTCACTATACCAAAATATTATTTCCAAAAGCTACGTAGTTTTAATCTATATTCTCAAAACAAAGTATTTTTATGAAACATTATTCTCAAGAGAGAATCGTATAAAATACCCTAAAAATTTAAGAATTTTTATTTTATACCCTCAAAGATTAAATTTTTTACATTGTATTCTCAATATATCAAAAGTGTTGCAAAATAATTCTTCTGTTAGATTTCGTTATTTTTTTTTTGTCAATATCAATGTGGTGGTTTTTTACAAAAAAATAAAATAAAATAAAAGATGTTAATAGGAGATTCTCATTGCAATATTTTAAAACCTTTTATACGAAAATCAAGCTATACCATATTCACCAATCACCATGCAGATGAATCTCACTGACTTTTTAAAAACATCATTTGTACCGACATGTATCAACATATAAACATCATTTAAAATGATATTATTTAAAATTTATTACTCAAGTTTNGTTTGTCACTATACCAAAATATTATTTCCAAAAGCTACGTAGTTTTAATCTATATTCTCAATACAAAGTATTTTTATGAAACATTATTCTGAAGAGAGAATCGTATCATTTGTACTGGCATTTATCAACATATAAACATCATTTAAAATGATATTATTTAAAATTTATTACTCAAGTTTGAGAAATAAGTTTGAAACTACGTTTAATTGAGAAAGGTTTTTTTTTTTGGATCATTTAAAATGATATTATTCAAAAATTATTATTGAGAAATAAGTTTGAAACCACGATTAATTGAGAAAGGTTTTTTTTTGGCCATGCAGAGGGTGAAAAACTAAACAATAGTGTTTGATATTGTGAGGACAAAAAACTGAAAGACAGATGGAACTAACCACATAAAAGAAGGTTTTCCGGTGGCGGCCGCTCCTTGGCAGGGTTGGGATCATCGTCGTGTACCCTGATGTAGAGTTCTTGACCAAGGAACCAATGCTTCAAGTGCTGTGATCTCAAATTCCACATTCCTGGATTGTCAAGGAATGCATATACTGCTGTCCACATTCCGGGGTACACCTGAACCGTGGACCGAACAACGGGATCGTAGAGGTTGTAGGAAGTGCGAGATTCCGGTGTCCATTCTCCTTCTCCAAACCTGCAGATTCACATTCACAACTCTCTCAGAAGAATAATCGATCAAAAAAAAACAAAACAAAGAAAGTTAATGTTTTAAAAAATTACACTTAAACCCCTTAAACTCTACCTCCTCATTCCACAACGGCCCATAGATTATTTGCTTTATCATAGTGTACCTTAAATTATTGATTTGAGTTTCACGCTGCCCAAATAGTCATAACAAAAAAATAATTTTGCCCAATTAAGGTGGGAAACATCATACATCGTAACATTGTGGAATTTCATTTTTTCACTGATTTCCCACGAAAAATTAGACAATAATTAACAATCAAGACAATGTGAAGTCAGGGCTGGCTCAATTACATTTGGGGCCTTAAGCGAAAACTTTAAGCGAAGGCCTTTACAAATTTATTATAAATATCACTAATGCTATTTTATGGCTATGCCATTTTTTCAATGAAGAACAAGGATTTATGCTACTTTATAGCTGTGCTATTTTTCAATGCATTATGAACGTAAAAACATATGAATGAGAGAGATTGGGAGAGTGAGAAAGAGATATGTAGGCAGGATTTATTTATGTAAATATATTTGTATATGCCCTAATTATAGAGAATGATTTGATTGATAACAAATGAAGAGATAACGTGTGATCTTGTGTGATCTTTTATGTGAGTGATATCAAATGTGACCATTTGAGTTGGTGGGAGTGTAAAATTTATTAAAAAAGATGAGAGATAATCAAATTTACATCTTTCGGGCGGGCTCTTATTCCATTATATTGTTGACCCAGATTAACCCATTTTATAAAAATCAAAAATATAATTTGGAGACCCCAAGTTAGCATTTCACTTGCTTATAGTGTCGGCCATAGCTATGTGAAAAGCTCAAACCAATAGTTTACTGTGCGAAGTGAGAGAAAAAACAGTTTAGGGGGGTAATGTGGAATGAGTGGCATAGTTCATGGGACGTAGTGTGATTTATATAGAAAACAATAGCGTTAATCTGAGCAACATTATATTGTGCAAAGACAAGTAGCTGAGAAATTGAATAACATTTAAGAATCAACATATAGTAATGGCAGTGAAAAACAGCTATGGTATTGGTAGGTATAACAAGCTTACCCAACAACGTAGAATCCGTAACCATCCAAATGCCAAGAATCCATGAGTTTCAAATCATTCTTGAACACAATTTCCAGCCACCCTTTGTGGACTCCAGTCACAACAAAAACTCCAGTTGATGCAGCGTCATTGATAGAGTGGACAGGGTATGTATCAAGTTGGTATACACCCGACCCGTTTACAAATTGATCGGCAAGTTTCAATGGGGTATCGGGGGTGAGATACGAGACATTGTTGACTACGTAGTATGGGAAACCATTAATTTTAGCTTCCGATCCATGGAGGATAAATGTCTGCGAAAGGGTAACGTTTGTCACATTGAAGCTTCCTTGTCGATTAGGCCTTGCAGCTCCTGCAGTCAGGTTCCACCTATACAAGGAGAAATCGCATGTATGAGACTAAAAACGACAGTCCAGTGTACGAGGAAAAATCCATAGCGAAACTAGCTTTGGATGCGAGTTTCTATGGAGGATGTCAACTACTAGAATCCGCATTAACAACTTAAGGACATTTTAACTGTGGATAGTTGTTGTTTTTCCAATGACATGCACGTAAAAGCCACGTCGAAGCAGGCTACCTACGACGAGCTATGAAGATGACAGTTTTTTTTTATCCAAATCACATTGATATTGGACTCTCGACCGCGTAAAATGATACCCCATTCAATTTATATTTTCACCCTTACTAGCTTCGATATAGAAACTGAGGTAAAATGTGAATCTGACAAGTTGGTTTATGTGGCAGTGAACATCATCATCGAAAATAAATAGATAGAACTGTTTAGCTGAAAATTTGGCAGATCAGAGCTGATTTACCTGATAGATTTAGCTTGAGTTATCGAAAAATCAACATCAAATGGATCGGGTCCTGTTGGCAAAGGTCCCGCAACTGTTGAAGTAGAATTGACATAGTGCAGGACCCCTTTGGCCACACGGGAGCTGGTATTCGAAGTGAGGAACAATTTTGGAGAAGCCACTATGTAATAATCGGCTTCACTTTGATTTGCAGTGACAAGAACAGAGTAGGACTGGCCAACATGCACATCAAGAGAGTCCAGTGTGATCTGGTTGGTGTATGATCCTTCTGTTTCAACCAACACCATCTGGTGGTTCTGAATCCTGAAGTTGAAACTGAATGCAGTCCCCACGTTTGATATTCGGAATCGATACGTTTTTCCTGTAACCAAGTACGGTCTTGTTACAACCTATTTAGATCAAATTACAACTCAATGGGGGGATAAGTTTCAACCAACTTTGTATTGTTGTAACCCCGGATTTACTCATAATTTCACCTTTATTTTGTAGTAACTTCGACACAGTACTTACAAACTTTGTACAGAGGTGTTCAATATTGTGAAAGATAGTGGGAGTAAATTTTAATAACTTCAATGGAGATACAGAAAGTTGCCTTTCTTTCCTTACCTAGTGTGACAGTGAAGGACTCAAAGGCTTTTGAAGTTGGGTCCCCATAAGGGCCTTTGCCATTCATCAACATCACATCAGGGACATCACCAAAATTCTCGTAATTGTACTTCACCAATGACCTAACTATCTGTTGCAATCAACACCAAAGCATTGGCCATAGTAATTGATAACCAAAGTGTGGCTTGTACAATATTAAAATAATGTGTTAATTGAATTGCATCTCTCAAGGTTGAGTACACTCAAGCTCCAACTTAGATTTGAGTAATTAATTTGAACTTTGAACCTCGATCAAAGCGAACTTTGATTTTTAATACGCTCACTCTTCGAAAGCTAGTGACTATTCCAATTGAACTTGAACCGAAACGAATCTCAATTTCTTAGCAAAATTTTTATAAAATTGAACCACAAATTTAATANCATCTCTCAAGGTTGAGTACACTCAAGCTCTAAATTAGATTTGAGTAATTAATTTGAACTTTGAACCTCGATCAAAGCGAACTTTGATTTTTAATACGCTCACTCTGTAAAAGCTAGTGACTATTCCAGTTGAACTTGAACTGAAACGAATCTCAATTTCTTAGCAAAATTTTTATAAAATTGAACCACAAATTTAATAATCAATCCTTAAATAACAGATTGCTAAGCAAACATCTCTTGGAGTATATATAATTGACTACAAAAGCAAATCTTAGAATTCAAAATTTCCAAACATCTATTAGAGAAAAGAGGGAGAGAAAAACTTTATATGTTCTATAGTTATTTGGATTTTCCCCAATGTTCTATAGCTATTTGAAGATAAGCTTGAATTTTGTTTCATCTTTTGAATATGGGTTGTTTAATAATAAAATTAGAAATACTTACAAATATAAAAATTGTTCANGACATCTATTAGAGAAAAGAGGGAGAGAAAAACTTTATATGTTCTATAGTTATTTGGCTTTTCCCCAATGTTCTATTGCTATTTGAAGATAAGCTTGAATTTTGTTTCATCTTTTGAATATGGGTTGTTTAATAATAAAATTAGAAATACTTACAAATATAAAAATCGTTCAATTCGAACTGGGTTTACTTGATTTGAGCCACACATCACTCAAATATGACTCATTTACAAAACAAGATTAGAAAATTTTAGACAAATCGAATACAAGTCTAATTTAAGCTGCTCGAATTGCTTACTAGCCTTGTATTGGAATATGTCGGATTCTTTTACNCGTTCAATTCGAACTGGGTTTACTTGATTTGAGCCACACATCATTCAAATGTGACTCATTTACAAAACAAGATTAGAAAATTTTAGACGAATCGAATACAAGTCTAGTTTAAGCTGCTCGAATTGCTTACTAGCCTTGTATTGGAATATGTCGGATTCTTTTACCTTGTAGTCACTGCGAAACCAATCACCAATGACAAATGCATTCAAATTCAATTCATTTTATAATATGACCGAGCTAAGTTTAAAGTGGTGCTCGGACTACTTGAATCATTTAACAGCCCGAAGAATTTATTAGTTCTTTTACCCAATAGTCGGATTGAAACCAATCACCAATGAGAAGATCAAACTCAGCTTCTGGTTTGGCAAAAGGGATGCTGATGACATCTCGGTTGTTGATCCGGATGGGTCCGAATCCTCCAGCAACCTTTANCAAGTTAACAGCCTGAAGAATTTATTAGTTCTTTTACCCAATAGTCGGATTGAAACCAATCACCAATGAGAAGATCAAACTCAGCTTCTGGTTTGGCAAAAGGGATGCTGATGACATCTCGGTTGTTGATCCGGATGGGTCCGAATCCTCCAGCAACCTTTAGAAAGTCGGTGGAGGGGAAGTAAGTGAAAGTGCCAATCTGGTCTTTGGTCTGGAACACATAAGTCCAGTTAGTACCAGGTTTAATGGGGCAGTTTGTGCCAGACACTCCATCTTGCCATGAGTTTAGCCTCTGCTGTATGCCATTCCTGCACAAGTATTGAAGGTATCGACTCGATTGGTGCTAGTTTCGAGTCAATCGGGATTAAGCTAAGATTCAAAAAGGTGAGTTGTGACTCAATCAAGATTATTTACGACACAAAATAAAGTTGGGATTTTCCCAAAATGTTTGGCTGGATCCCAAAAACTCACCCATCTAGGGAAAGTTATAACTAAAAAAAAATTGGGATCATCCTAAAATGTTCAGATTAGGAACAGTCCCCATCTTTTTGGGATCGGTTACAAGAGACCCCATTGATTAAGTTTTAGCTTTTTCTACTACTAATGATTATGGTATAAGGTAAAGAAACTAGGGAACTATAAAAAAGCAGCCCAAAGGTTATATATACCATGTAAAGAGTATTGGCTCGTTCAACTTGTTAAAGACATTGACATGGACAAAATCATTGGTTGTGGAATTGATGAGGGGTCCTGGAAACATTCCATTAATGGTGATAACCTGTAACACACACAAACAGTGAGTAGAAGAACACCCCCAAATGCACATCTATGAAAACTGAGAACTGTAATTACATACAGGTTGAGGAGACGACACGGGTCTAATTGTAGTGTCAGTGGAAACAACCCATTCATGGTAGATGTCAATGGCAATGACTCGGGCAACAAGAACAACAAACAATGTTGTGCAAATGATTAGCCACTCGAAAGGGCGAAAAGAGGCCATTACTAGGTGGGAAGGTCCTACGAGGGTCCTTTCTGCTTTGCCTCTTGTCTCAGACCAGAGGGTGTTGATTTATATAGCTCTTATGTAAGTTGAAAGGTAGGCCGCCCTGGAAAGATAGGTGGAGATTCCTAAGGAAATGGCTGACAAAGCCCACTTAGAAGAGGAAATAACAATGGAGTGTGCGTTTGTGTGTGGTATGCCGGCAGATTTTCTGAAAAAACAATGATGTGTATAGCCTTGTTTTGCCAACCTGAAGACTTAAGTTTGTTGTCTGTATGAAACAGTCCTTAGCAAAACGTTGAGAGATGGATCTGTTCCTTGTCATGTGACACCAATGTGGCATATGTCTTTTGTTCTTTCAATTGATAGTTCTTTTGAAATATAGGGAAGTCCCAATGATACAAGAGGATGCGAAGATACATTGTAAGTTTGAGTCTAAAAATCAATATTAAAATCAAAATTCAAACGAGAAACCCTAACATGCGATATTAATTATATTAATATGCTGGCCAACAGAAAACTGATGACAGATATTGGTATATCATGTTGTATATCATATTGGTGACAGATATTGGTATATCATATTGATATTGCTATATCATGTTAAGAGATTTCTTATATGCCATGAGAGGTATTTATATACTTCCAGTCTTACTATTATTATAAATAAATGGGGATAAGTGAGATGACCCTAATCTGATTCTTCGGGCTTTCTCTCTAACTGCCACCAACATTCTCACAAACTCTCTCTTCCTCTTGACTTCTTCTTTCTCTTTTCATATCTTAAAACAATTTTCAATTGAGGAGATAGAGGTTAAACCAGGAGCAATTGCTAGTGTTTTCCTCTCCAAATGCTAGTTGTACATGACAGCCTTGTGAAGTGCGTACAACCACCACCCGAGCTGATGGTCTAGTGGTAAACCGTACCCGTTTAGAGCTATCCTTGACTCTCATGTGGTTATCAAGCAAAATTCAATTCAGTGGAACAACGTCATTTGCTGCTTGACTTTGATAGTGCTATGGTGACGGGCTGCCCTTCCAAGTTAGTAGTTATAGTTCAAACTGAACATTCCATAGTGGAAAGACCCTCATGGTCACTCCCAGAAGACGGTTACTACCTATTGGTCGCCCATCTCCCTTAAAAAGAAGACAGTTCAAAAAAAAAAAAGTGTGTACAACCTTGTTTTTTAACTATTCCAGTGACACACAAGAAACCTCAATAATAATATCATAAACTTTTGGTGATAAATTGTAAGTTACAATTTATAGATGATAAGATGCACAAAAGAATCTTAACACTCAAAATCTCAAACTTTGTATCCCAAATAAGGATGTCAATTTAAAAAAAAAAAGCAGCAACCTTTGTCTCACACATCATACTGGCTTCCTTTTCACATCCCAACAGCCCTCTCAAGTATGTGGGGAATCTTCATATTCTCCATCATCTTCAGAGCATGCCTCTTTTTCTCTCTTGCATTGGAATAGATATCAAATCTCTTGAAATTTTGCAAATTACCCAGGTAGCATTTCTTGTTCTAAAGATCGCGAGGCAGCAGCTCGAATCTTTCCTGGCCCGTTAGGTAACTCGATGCAACGTGCCTTTTTCTAGCTTCTGACTGATATGTGTCCTTAGTATGAAGAACATACCCCATCTCATTTTAACACAGAAAGCTAGCAAGTCTGGAAAGAGCAACATGCAAACAAAGTCACTTCCCTGTTTTGAGCATGCTTTACAAATCTTATGTTTGACTATATAATTACAAAACTATTTGTATACAAGGCCACTGTTCACCCACGTTATCTTTCTTTCCTAATGGATATCTCCAACCATCCCATGTGTGAAGCTAATTCTAATACAAACTGACCAAAGATTAAATGAATGAAAGAACAGAGCAGATCTGCACCAACTAATAGGCGCTACATGAACCCAAAATCTTCCCAAAACTGCCAAAGTAAGCAAGAAGAATAGGTCCAAAAGATTTCATTAAAAAGATGTCACCATCTGTGCTNTCCTCTCCAAATGCTAGTTGTACATGACAGCCTTGTGAAGTGCGTACAACCACCACCCGAGCTGATGGTCTAGTAGTAAACCGTACCCGTTTAGAGCTATCCTTGACTCTCATGTGATTATCAAGCAAAATTCAATTCAGTGGAACAACGTCATTTGCTGCTTGACTTTGATAGTGCTATGGTGACGGGCTGCCCTTCCAAGTTAGTAGTTATAGTTCAAACTGAACATTCCATAGTGGAAAGACCCTCATGGTCACTCCCAGAAGACGGTTACTACCTATTGGTCGCCCATCTCCCTTAAAAAGAAGACAGTTCAAAAAAAAAAAGTNCTCATGGTAGATGTCAATGGCAATGACTCGGGCAACAAGAACAACAAACACTGTTGTGCAAATGATTAGCCACTCGAAAGGGCGAAAAGAGGTCATTACTAGGTGGGAAGGTCCTACGAGGGTCCTTTCTGCTTTGCCTCTTGTCTCAGACCAGAGGGTGTTGATTTATATAGCTCTTATGTAAGTTGAAAGGCAGGCCGCCCTGGAAAGATAGGTGGAGATTCCTAAGGAAATGGCTGACAAAGCCCACTTAGAAGAGGAAATAACAATGGAGTGTGCGTTTGTGTGTGGTATGCCGGCAGATTTTCTNACAGCAACCTTTGTCTCACACATCATACTGGCTTCCTTTTCACATCCCAACAGCCCTCTCAAGTATGTGGGGAATCTTCATACTCTCCATCATCTTCAGAGCATGCCTCTTTTTCTCTCTTGCATTAGAATAGATATCAAATCTCTTGAAATTTTGCAAATTACCCGGGTAGCATTTCTTGTTCTAAAGATCGCGAGGCAGCAGCTCGAATCTTTCCTGGCCCGTTAGGTAACTCGATGCAACGTGCCTTTTTCTAGCTTCTGACTGATATGTGTCCTTAGTATGAAGAACATACCCCATCTCATTTTAACACAGAAAGCTAGCAAGTCTGGAAAGAGCAACATGCAAACAAAGTCACTTCCCTGTTTTGAGCATGCTTTACAAATCTTATGTTTGACTATATAATTACAAAACTATTTGTATACAAGGCCACTGTTCACCCACGTTATCTTTCTTTCCTAATGGATATCTCCAACCATCCCATGTGTGAAGCTAATTCTAATACAAACTGACCAAAGATTAAATGAATGAAAGAACAGAGCAGATCTGCACCAACTAATAGGCGCTACATGAACCCAAAATCTTCCCAAAACTGCCAAAGTAAGCAAGAAGAATAGGTCCAAAAGATTTCATTAAAAAGATGTCACCATCTGTGCTGGCTGATCACAAAGAGCATCTGGAAGGATCTGACCTTCAGATAGCTGTACGCACCAGTTGTTACAGAGTTCAAATTTTGAACTATGATTTTGTATTATGCCCCCATTTTCCAGGAATTCCAACTAAAAGCAACAATTACCACCATGTTTCGACTGACACGGTTGCTTCTGTTTCAATATGTGTCTCTTTGCAAATACAGATCCCTTCTCCATTAGACTAGGTACCTCCAATATCTGTAGAAATCAATGATGAGTTAGAACTCATTGAACAGTATCGAGTCAAAAACTACAGCTGAATATTTTTAGCTTAACAAAAAGATAAAACTTNGCAGCAACCTTTGTCTCACACATCATACTGGCTTCCTTTTCACATCCCAACAGCCCTCTCAAGTATGTGGGGAATCTTCATATTCTCCATCATCTTCAGAGCATGCCTCTTTTTCTCTCTTGCATTGGAATAGATATCAAATCTCTTGAAATTTTGCAAATTACCCAGGTAGCATTTCTTGTTCTAAAGATCGCGAGGCAGCAGCTCGAATCTTTCCTGGCCCGTTAGGTAACTCGATGCAACGTGCCTTTTTCTAGCTTCTGACTGATATGTGTCCTTAGTATGAAGAACATACCCCATCTCATTTTAACACAGAAAGCTAGCAAGTCTGGAAAGAGCAACATGCAAACAAAGTCACTTCCCTGTTTTGAGCATGCTTTACAAATCTTATGTTTGACTATATAATTACAAAACTATTTGTATACAAGGCCACTGTTCACCCACGTTATCTTTCTTTCCTAATGGATATCTCCAACCATCCCATGTGTGAAGCTAATTCTAATACAAACTGACCAAAGATTAAATGAATGAAAGAACAGAGCAGATCTGCACCAACTAATAGGCGCTACATGAACCCAAAATCTTCCCAAAACTGCCAAAGTAAGCAAGAAGAATAGGTCCAAAAGATTTCATTAAAAAGATGTCACCATCTGTGCTGGCTGATCACAAAGAGCATCTGGAAGGATCTGACCTTCAGATAGCTGTACGCACCAGTTGTTACAGAGTTCAAATTTTGAACTATGATTTTGTATTATGCCCCCATTTTCCAGGAATTCCAACTAAAAGCAACAATTACCACCATGTTTCGACTGACACGGTTGCTTCTGTTTCAATATGTGTCTCTTTGCAAATACAGATCCCTTCTCCATTAGACTAGGTACCTCCAATATCTGTAGAAATCAATGATGAGTTAGAACTCATTGAACAGTATCGAGTCAAAAACTACAGCTGAATATTTTTAGCTAGACAAAAAGATAAAACTTCTGAAACTGAATACTTTGTTATAAAAGAGATATAGCTTAAGAGGCATAAACAGCATTATTGAGGATAGTCACGCAAATGTAGTTCCATATAATACTATTTGTGCCAGCAGTAATTTTGAAATGATTTCAATACAGCAGGCTCAAGCTCCTTTATCAAAGAAAACAAAGTCCATCAAAGAAATTGCAAGAGGAATGTTCTCCTGGAAATCACATTACGAACAACAGGTGACAGGTGCTACTCTGAAAACAAAAACCTAAGTTATATTAGTTTGTTACTAGTTACTTATTTTTTCTTCTTTTGGTGGCTGTAGTGTTACTAAGGACAACTGTTAATTGTACGCCACCTTTTCACTCAGTTTTGACATGATTGATGGAACAGTTCTA